AATACACAGAAGAAGACAGAGCGGAAACAGCTCCTCCCTGTCTGGCCTGCAGACAATTCACATTTAACATTACGTGTCAAAGGAATACAGCAAGATGCTAAATATGTTTTAATAAAGTATCCATGTTTGTATAAAACTAAAGTCAAATGCAGTTGATATATACAATAAACAGTATTCCATCATACTATAAGAGCCCATGAAGTGCATATAGCACATTCTAAAAAAGCTTTTATGATGCTAAGCATGTTCTTCTTTTTTTTTTTTTTGGTTACACAATAGGTTGTAATTTAATCGTCTTTACAAAGGCAAGTTTAGTTGTAGACTTAAAAAATAAACAATGCAAATTGGTGAAAATTTTGTTAAAAAACTGTGTGAACAATATTAAAATGAAAGCACTTAGATGTCATTTTTACATATGAAACTATTTTTTGAAATCTATATTAAGAAGCAACAAAATTACTTCAATGAAGTCCACTTGCATTCAATATAATTGTCACATATTCTGTTTATTTGGTACTTCTAGAAAAGGATTCTGAAAGAACCCCGAGATTGAACACCACTATGACAATCTTTAATCTGAATGATGATCCAGGAACAGAAAAACACCAACAACAAAAAAAACAAAAAAAAAACATTGGGGATTTGATGAGGTTTTTAAATGTGTAATAAGATTGCAGTGAACTCCCATTAGCCTAAACCGAGTATGCTTGGTCAATGGAGGTACTTGAGCCTGAACAAGACTTCTGTAACAGGGTTGTAGTGTTTTTTTTTCATTGAGGTAGCAGATTAAACATTAAATCTATGATGTTGTGAATGCACGCTAGCATGGATTGGTTGTGAACAACTTAAAGCTGGACAGACCAGGGTAGCGTCATGTCTATTGTCTATCCAAGATCTTGAAAATGCCAAACTGTTGTGCTAGCATATCACAACATTCTAGCTTATAGTCACATCCTAAGACAGTCCGAGAAAGTTGTACAATGGCTGGGTCTGGGTTGTAGTGCAATTGCGGGTGTATGTGGTATGATTGTTGTGCTGCTGATGTATTGAGAATGGGAAAAAAATCTTCAGAAACATAGTTGGTGAGCACTGAGGGCATAACCGTGTTTTTACCGCCTTTAAGGAGGTTTACCAAATAAAATTTGCCACAAACAAGCCAAGTTCTAGAAGTGGGTTGTTTGTGGAAATTGTAGCAGAGTCATCATCCAATGTGAATGGGGTCAAAGCAAAACCACCAACAGGCCAGAAAAAAACTAAATGGTTTTCAAACTCCATCCATTTATCCATCCATTATCTTCTGCTTGTTTCAAAGTTGTGTTGTGGTTGCAACTGTTTAATCAGGGAGGTCCAGACATCTCTTTCCACAGCCACCTCTTCCAGCTCTTCTGGGAGGATTTAAAGGCGTTCCCAGGCCAACCGAGAGACATAGTCTCTCCAGCGTATCCCGAGTCTTCCCCTGGGTCTCCTCCAAGTTAATCATGCCTGAAGCCACTCCCTAGCGCGGTGCCCAGGAAGCATCCTTACCAGATGCCCGAACCACCTCAAATGGGTCCTCTTGATGTGGAGGAGCAGCGGTTCTACACTGAGTCTCTCCTGAAAAACTGAACTTCTCACCCTATCTCTAACAGAGAGTCCAGCTACGTAGGCATTGCAGTCCTGCAGCAGAATAAAAGGAGTCCTCAGCTGGTGCACCTTCCAGAACACCTGCCAAGGACTCCAAGAAGGGCGGACATGCCAAACTGCCATTTGGCGCGTAGGCACAAACAATGGTCAAAGCCCGACCCCCCACCTGAAGGTGCAGGGAAGCTACCCTCTCATCTACTGGGGAAAACTCCAACACACAGGCACTAAGTCAGAGGGCTGCGTAGACTCACACCAGCTTGGCGCCTCTCACCATGTGCAACCCCAGAGTGGAATAAAGTCCAGCCCTTCTCGAGGAGATTGGTTCTGGAGCCCATGCTGTGTGTCAAGGTGAGCCCAACTATAGTCCAACTATCCAGTCTTTACCTCTCAACCTCACGCACAAGCTCAGGCTCCTTCCCCACCTGAAAGGTTGCATTCTATGTCCCAAGAGCCAGCTTTGGTAAGCCAGAGTCAGAGTACCAAGGCTCCCGCCTTCAGTCAGTGCCCATGGCGTCATGCACCTGACTCATATGGCCTCTTCTGCAGGTGATGGGCCCACAAAAAGGCTGTTTTCAAAAATGGTTGGGTAAAATGTTTTGGAGAAATACAATATATTAATATATATATTAATAATTAGTACTTTAAGAAGGCATAACCATAACTGAATCAAATATTTAACATGGCAGCATCTATAGTTCAGTTGCTGCAATTTTCCTGCTTGCTGCAGCATTGTTTAACAGGTATATGTATAAATCCAGCACACAACATGACCAAAATGTAAATATGTCAGTTTAAAAGAAGAAGAGCTGTCAGAGAGCAGGCACAGGTTAATAAGGGCATAACTCAGAGAGAGCCTGAAGCCACACAAGTACAATATCTGACATTTCTTGTAGTGAGAAGAGACATGTCAGAGATCTGAGTCTCCGCTTAGCTTCGGCAGTGATAGATTTTTACATTAGCAGCTCCTCCACCCACATCCCTAAAACTTTTCCACTTGGCTTATTTGACTCCCACTCTGTAGGAAAATATGAGTGTTGGCTGTCCTTGAAGCATCAATGGTATGGAAAAAAATAAAATAAAACAAGAACACTCTTCTGACAGGCACATCTCAGTTGTAGTTCATGACCAGAGCAAGAATAATGAAATATGTGTGCTTTTGAAGCCAGAATAAGATAAGAAAATCCAACCAATGTGAAATCATTTGTTTTGGATTTAGAAACAAAAGAGATAAAAAAAGACAGAAACTGAGACTGAAAAGGAGTGGGGGGCTAAAGGAGAGAAAGAGTCAGGAGAAAATGTTATTGATCTGGAGTCTTAATTAAGCATCAGATGCCACTAAACAAAGTCTCTGATCTTCAATAATCAGTGGAAGAGTGGCACCACTCTTGAGAGAGATAAAGGAGAGAGTTTATAAAAGAAGGGCAGAGAGAGGACAACTGCACATTACTGATGGACTAGAAATTAACTTTGGACACTGCAAGTTTGCAAAATCTGCATACAATGAGGTGAAACTATCCTTCTCAAACTGTGGTACAAACGATTTCCATTTGTTGTATTCAAAAACATCTTCTGGTTTTAACTACTTACAAGTTAATAAAAAAAAAACAACAACTAATGGAACAAGCAGTACACTAATCCACTGAGGAACTTGAATAGTGGATGTTTGTAGTATTTTAGGATGAGTATTTTTTCGGGACTAGAATTGAACAGGAAATGAAAGTAAACCTTAATTTTTTTTATTTTATTTTATTTTATTATTTTTGCAATATATACAAGTGGGTAGAAGTTGCACTGTGGATAAGAATTAAGGTCGAGTTTTTTGTTGTTTATTTTTGGCAATCCACAACCACAAGCTGTGGCAGATCCAGGGGGTGGCCAGTGGTGGCCTTAGCCACTATAGATTATTTTTTTGGCCACCCCACCAGCCTTCACATTACTTGAGAAAAATCAACTTTATAGGAACATAAAAACTAGAAAACACAGTTTGGGGGGGGGGGGGTAATTATTAAATTAGTTAATTCTGTTATGAATGTGGTTTTGGAGTTGAATTTTTTTTTCTTTTCTTTTTTCTCTAAAATAAACTAAAAACATTTTTGCCCTGGCAAAAAGCTTTGGTTTCATATTTGATATGATGTTCATATTTATGTTACTAGAAATACTTTATTTGCTAGGTGAACACGGCTGTTAAAAAGTGCCTGTTTTGAAAAAGTATTCAACCTCTTTTATATAAAACAGTACCTTGAAAATGCTCTAAATGTCTTTGAGTCATAATTCAATTTTGTGCATAATGATGAGATTAATCGCAATTATTTTTTTTAAGTCTTTGCCCAGCACTAATATGGTGGCCATCTTGGATTTTGACGTGGCAACCAAATTTTTTAAATGAATGTTACTTCTGCCTGGATGTAGCCAGCCACTGAAATTAAAGTTGGTTCCTTGCTTATTTTCCAAGTTATCATGCTCACGACGTGCACGGACAGATGACCGAATGGAGAGTATTTCCAATTCCCCCTCTTTGATTCATGACAGCAGACACAAAAAATAGTAGTTTAAGCTTGTACTACTGCTTTTTTATTATCTGTCATAACGATGGTACTTGAATAGCATACTAATTTCTAAAGTTGTTCTTTTTTGAAGAGTGAAAATGCTGGTGAAGATTCACAGTTTTTTTTTTTTTTTAAGAGTATTTAAAAGAGGAAAAAAAGAAATTACTACGAATTAGTGAAAGAAGCAAATGAGTGAAGTAAAAGTGTAAGGATTGATCAGTTCAACCGTTTTTCATAAAACTAGAGTGTGCCAAGAAAAAAGTAACAATATATTTCCAACATTGTGTCATTCTTCATCCAGATACAGTCACCTTCTGCTTGTTTTCATGTACATGTGAAAGGCCTGTCAATGCTGAGATGACAGTAGTGACGTGTCGAGGATTGAATTGCCAATTTTAATACAACTAAAGAGTCCAGATCTAAGCTCGCTGATTTAATTCAGGCAGAATTGGAATTGACCCAAAATGAAACCAGTGGAGTGGAGTGAACATAAGCAGGATTGGGGCTGACGTTAATCCCTGAGAGGTTTGAACAGCAAAATAGCGCTTCTTGGAATGTGATGAAGGAGGATTGGGCTTTAAAAAATGATGCTGGTTGAGACTTTAGAGGAAGGAGCTAGAACAGGGAGGAGTGGTATCAGTGTCAGATTACAGACAATTTATTCATGAGGTTAGCAGGTCAACCACACAAACCATCAATCTAAATGGGGGGGGGGGGGGGGGGTGAGTAAATAGAAACAAAACCTGATATCACTTCTGTTGTAGTAACAAACAAAGACACTGGTGTAAAACAGAAATTATGATACACTTAATACCAATATATTGAACTCACCATTGTGTGCAGATATATTAGCTTGAGTTGTGAAGGAGTTGTTAAAGTCCTTTTTTGTTTCTTCAAATGATTGAGAGATCCGACGTTCATGACTGTCCATGAGAGAGTTAACAGAATGCTCTGACAGAGGAGGGCTGACCGGGACACCCTAAAGTGGAAGAGAGAGATATGAAGATATGGCATGTTTGCAAATACAATACAGTAAAATTTGTGATTTTGAAAATTATCTCAGGTGTATTTATCATATTTAAGCTCAAATTTCGAGGCTCAATATGATTTATCTGTCTAAATAAAGGTTGAATTGAATTGAATGAATCCCTAACCAGAAAAATCACTTTAATTATGCTTTACTTTGAGATTTGTCACTTTACCTGTGCTTCTGATTATCCATGTTGCAGATTTTTTACCCATAAGCTGCTATATTCATACCCATCTGCTCACAATGGACTCATGTTCAGGCTGCTGTTTAACACATCATATTATTTTATATTATTATTGTTTGACATATATCTTATATCCTTGTATATTATACTGTTTCTTTTTATACTTGTATTTTTGCTATTTTTGGGTGTAACTGGGACCTTGAGTACACAATTTCATTCTACCACATGTACCACATGTGGTGCGAATGACGAATAAAGAAACTTTGACTTTGATAACTGCACCTTGAGATCATGTCTATGAACAATACAAATTGGATTAGAGAGGCACAGCCAGCCCGCAACTAGAACAAGCTCGACTTCGTGATGAGATCAGACACAGCTTTTTCTTTGGTTTCTTTCAGGAACCAGACAGCCCTTACAAGTGAACCTATACTCCTGCCTCATCTCTATAGACTGTCTCAACTTCGAACTTCAAATCAAATTTACAGTAATTCAGAACACTAAACATGGTAAACACATTTTGAAACTAATAAAAAAACAAAATGTATGGGTGATTTGTTGTACTGCATGGACTGTTTGTATACCAAGGAAGAAATGGGAATGTGGCTTCTGTTTTGTGTCATCAATACTTCAAAAAGATACAGTGAAGGCCTAGGTATCCATCCCAGCTTATGACACTATTTTCTGGTTCAATAGTGTGAAACGGATCCAGCCAGAGTCCAAACTGGATAAAGCTCCCTGGATTTCTCATCAGCCAGCAGACAGGTGCCACTAACAATGAGTTTGACTAAAAGTGGCCGGTGGCATTTGCCATGTGGTTGATGTTCTGCACCGCAGATCATTGAGCCCTGGATGGACTCAGTTCATTTGCCAATCTGTACAGACAGACAGACATTGTTGACCACTATACACCTGACATGTTTGGATTAAAAGTTAATAAATTTTAAATTGTGTTACTTTAGGATAAAAGTTATGAAGTCACTATTTCTTGATCACTATTTCTCACTTACTTGATTCAGCAGTTTGTGGATATCTATTGTTAGGGGCAGTTCTAGGATCTGACCTTTTGGGGTGCTTAGCCTCCATTACTGACAATGGGTCTTGCCTTGAACAACACACCCCATGGTGTGGTTTGTGAGAAGTGCAAAAGCTTATGGCACCTGGCATTCCCAGGTGGTCTCCTATCCGAGTACTAACCAGGCCCAACCCTGCTTAGCTTCCGAGATCAGACAACATCGGTCATGCGCAGAGTGGTTTAGCCATAAATGAGGAGCTCAGTCATAAATAGAACCTTTAAAGGATCATAGCAAACAAAGACTTATGCAATCAGAATTTGCAACATACAGTATATCTACATATAAACACACAAAACAAAGCACAACTAGATTTAAGCATTTTGAGATTTTGCTTTTGGAAACTTTAATTCCTGTTTACCTGGATGTAAATCACATTTTTGGATGATTGTTTCTTTTTGTATCAGATGCTGTGCAGTTGGAAGGATTTTTACTGAAACTTCTTTAGTTTTGGACATTTGTTATGATGCGTAACCATGGCAACAAGGCAGTTTTCTACAACCAACAACAGCTGATTAACATCCCAAAAGCTCAAATAATATTTCATCTACAGCCCCAAATCTCAAATGAGTTGAAAGGATGTTCTGTGGACGCATTATCTTCTACCTGCCAGCTGTGCTCAAGTGCCTGACCACTGTGATCCTGGAACTAGCAGGAAACAGGCTCATGACAGCGTAAGGACAGGATCGTCCCTCGGCACCTACAGTTGGCTGTCCGCAGCAATGAGGAACTCAACAGACTGTTGGGAGGAGTGGCCATCACTTTGGGAGGAGTTCTGCCCGGCATTCGGATGGTCCTACAGCCCGGGGGAACCGAGAGGCCAGCCGAGTCTGGGTGGACAGATCGGACGGCATCTGCGGCCAGTTTCTTAAGATCCACTGTGGGATGGACCTTTACAAGAGATCCTTCCTGCCTACAGCCATCAGTATCTATAACATCTCTTAATGAAATGAGGATAACGAGTTACAACAACAAACAATTCCCCTTTGGGATTAATAAAGTATTTTTGAATTGAATTGAATTGAATTGAATTACCCTTTAATTTAACCATTACACATACAATGTAATTATACCAGACAATGTAGGATGTACCAGTTACCTTCGTACAGACCAACATGTGGTACTTCCTGTTTATCACTGTTGTATTCAGCTGATCATGAGGTCAGACTGTACTTCCTGCGACAACTGAAGAAGGCCAAGCTGCCGGCCAAGCTGATGGTGCAGTTCTACACGGCCATCATCGAGTCCATCCTCAGCTCCTCCATCACGGTGTGGTACGCCGGGGCCACTGCCAGGGACAGACTCAGACTGCAGCGCATTGTGCGCTCAGCTGAGAAGGTGATCGGCTGCAGCCTTCCATCCCTCCACGACCTGTACGTCTCCAGGACTGTGAGGCGAGCAGGTCGGATCACAGCTGACCCTGCTCACCCTGCACACGGTCTGTTTGAAACACTCCCCTCAGGCAGGAGGCTTCGGTCCATTCGGACCAGAACCTCCCGCCATAAGAACAGTTTCTTCCCCTCTGCTGTTGGACTCCTGAACACTCATAATGCTACCTCATAATTTCTGCTTTGGTCACATTACATCTGTATTATAACTGAATACTCCATCTGTACTGTTTTCTAAGCTTTTTTATTATTTTCTATTGTATGGGTGTACATATGGTTATGTTATGGTTTTAATTTTACTTTATTTGTGGGTGTACACAGGCTTATGTCTTATGTAATGTTCTCATTTTTACTTAATTTTTACTTATTTTTACTTTATTTTACTTTACTACTATTCGCACCTTATGTCGAAGCAAATTCCTAGTTTGTGAACCTCGTTCATTGACATGGCAATAATAAACTGATTCTGATTCTGATTCTGATTCTCAGTGGTCAGCCTTTATTATCTTTTACATTTTTCCAGACTCCGTTTAAGTTTTGGAAATGGAATAAACTGTATTCCACCATTTAAATGCCCAGAGTAATGCTGTCTGAACCACATGTTCCCCGCTGACAATGTTTAACCATTTTTTCTTGTGATTTTTCATGAAATCCCTCAGACCGTAAAGCGTTGGTAATGCAAAACCCTGACAATGTTGTTGGAGGAAAAGGAGGTGCAGCTTCTGCAAGTAAGAGGTCTTTTACTTCGGGACAAATTGAGATCGCCGATTTGTCATTTGCTGACGAGTGTACTGGACAGATTGACAGGTGGCACTGAGGATCTGACTAGTGCAAATAAATCATAGATTTTACTGGCATCACTTATTCCATATTTTTCAAATGTATTAAATATTTTGGTGAATCTAAGATTGGAGAACTAAGCTTCCTTGCAAAATCACAATGATGCTTCTTTATTTTTTCAGGGGTGCTGAGTTAAAATTGGCCCTGTGATGGACTTGCGACCTGTCCAGGGTGTACCCCGCCCCTCACACAGTGATTGCTGGACATGGGCACCAGCGACCCCCGTGACCCAAAATGGAATAAGCGGGTAAAGATAATGGATGGATGAATGGATGGATGAGTTAAAATGTAGGGGTGATTGAGCACCCCAGAAAAAAAGGCTAAAATCACCACTGTTCATAACTTCTGTATACTTCATAACTTTGATTGCTCACTCACAGCCATACAGTGAATAACAGTTTCTACAAGGAGACTGTAGTTAATATTAAATTTTCCCAGCATTCTACCAATTTTGGACAGAGACAAAAGGAAGTATGTATGAGTTTGTAAGAGATGAGTGGAGGCAAAGATGAGGAAGCAAAGGGGAATGATTGAAAGTTTTGGATAAACAAATTAAATAAATTACAAGGATGAGAAAAACTGTGGGGGTGTTGGAACTTGAATTAACTTGGGTGCTGCCAAGCAGCCTCTCTGTGGGAGTGGTATGGTATGCTGAGTCAATGAAGAGGTTTTCAAGAACAGAGAGATTCATTGGCAGCTTAATGCAAATGAGAGGTTTAATGTGGTTAAAAGCACAAAACTTTATCAGGACAGCGTGTTGATAAGAGTGAGGGGGGAGAGAGGCGGTTACTATGTGCTGCTGGGTCAATGCAATTACATTCATGGACATGACTGCTGCCAGACTTTTAATAAAAAAAAATAATAATAATAATAAACATGTCCCTGGATAAATTAGACTCAATAAAGGTACAAATTGTTGAAATTAAGATTGATTTAACTCTCTTTCACCCTTTTATTCAACTGTTTGCTGCACTTTTTAAATACCTTTTGATCTTTGACTTGGCATGAGTGAAAGGAAGTGAAGTTGTGCATAAAATGTTAAAAAGGAAATTATATATAAAACACATCAAGTTCTTAAAGTGGCAGCCATTTTAGAGTAAAGGGAGGGATATGGTTTGGATTTAAAAGCATGATGTGTCTTCTAAGGCAAATAAATGATGGAATCAATGGAACACGGATCCAATATTGCAGCAATTTAATCTTTGTGGATTTAGTGTTAAATAAGTCTGCTTTTATGCATACTAAAGCTTTGGCTTTCTCTCACTCTGTTTACTGACATGTGAATGTTTACTGACTAGAACACTAGGTAGATGATGAGAAGTGACATTTCTACATACATTTTGCTTGAACTACAAATTCAGCTGCCGAGTCTTTTGTAAATTTTGTTTTTCAGGAAATCTCATTTGTATGCAAAAAAGACAAACTATGGTTTTGAAGAATAAATAGTTAGTTCTTAATTGGCAA